CTCGGGTGCTATCCAGCAACTTCTGCCGGAAGGTTTCTGTCAGAGGCAAGCATTCCCACATTACAGTGACACAATCAGCCTACTCTGGCAAGACCAAGCCGTGAAACTGTTTGTTTGGGGGAGATTCCCAAACAAATGCACTTCTAGAGCAGGGTGCTACTCAGGAAGCACCGAGTTGCTGACCTCGCTTCTTGCCTTGTTGGGAGCTGGGCAGAGACCGTCGTGAGGCTGTCTCGCATACTATTCATTTCATCCATGCACAAAAATATTTCTGACGTTCTTTGTACAATTAGTTCTTCTGGTACTGATTTCGAAGGCAATCATTTGCAGTGCTTGTCATATGCTCTCTGGAGGGACGGTCCCCGGGGCATGGAGTGAAGTTAAACTGAACACAGATAAGCTCCCTACCATCTCCTCTGCGGTTTCTATGGGAAACTACTGAGGACACAACACCTGCCTAAGGAAACTCAGCTAGGACCACAGCCCTCCTCACTCCTAACTCACCACGTTCCTTCTGCTGCACCAAGCTTGCTTTGTATACAATTTGCATTCTACACCCCATCAGATTGTCTCTATTCAAAATCACAACCTTAGCTGGGCGTGGTGGCACATCCCTGTAATCCCAGCACTCGGGAGGCTGAGGCAGGAGGGTTGTTGCGAGTTCGAGGTCAGCCGGGGCTACATAACAAGACCCTGTCTCAAAAAGGCAGAAAAAAAAACCAAAAAGCAAAAAACCAAAATCACAACCTGGCCTTGTGAGGATTAGAGTGTGTTCCAGAGAAACAGGTAGTTCTTTCGGTCACAAGACGGAGTCTGAGGTGGGTCCCTGAAGAGGAGATGGAGACCTCAGTGTGGTCTGCCGAGTAGGTTTCTGATTCACATTAACCGCAGATTTGTCGGGCAAAGTTAGAAAGAAGGGAGAAAGGCCTCCAGGTAGAGTAACTGGAGGGGCTCAGCTCTCTCTGATGCCGGGGGTTCAGACCGGCACCTTCTCAGAAGCACCAGGTCAGCTTTTCGTGATTGGCCGAGGTAGGCCAGGGTCCAGTCCATCAGAATCTCAGTCCTGGTTTCTGCAGCCCGGAGGAATCCTTATGGCCTGAAGGAGTTTGGTTTTTCTGAGGTTTTTCTGAGGCAGTGTCTCAATGTGCAGTTCAGGCTGGCCTCGAACTCACGGTGATTCTCCTGCCTCAGCCTCGTGACTGCTGGGATTACCGGCGTGCACCACCATGCTTGGCTTTGAGGGGCAGCTTGGCTCCCGTGAAATGACTGTGCTTTCTCAGCAAGGGTGAGCTCTTCTGCTGGGTTCCACTTTTCCTGGAATCCAAGGCGGCAGCAGGTTTAAGACAACAATCCAAGACTTCTAGGGATTGGTCTTGGGGGTCTGGAACTGAATATTGTAAAAGCTGATAATCTGATGTCCCTGTAAATCCTGAAAATTGCCCTTTTTTTTTTGTACTAGGGATTGAACCCAGGAGCTCTGCACTGAGCTATATATGCAGCCCTTTTATTTACGTACGTATGTATGTACGTATGTATGTATGTATGTATGTATGTATTCAGAGACAGAGTCTTGCCATGTAGTTCAGACAGGCTGCAACTTACCAAGTGATCCTCCTGCCTCAGCCTCCCAAGTGCTGGGCTTACAAGCACGCCCTTTATTTTCTGACACCAGTTCTTGCTAAGTTATCCAAGCAGGACTTGATTCTCCTGCTTCAGCTTCCCTCAGTGCTGGCATTACAGGTCCGTGACATCATGCCCAGTAGTTTTTCTTATTTTGGTGTCCTTGGGCCAGAAGTTGGGCAAGACACGTGAGGTCAACTTAGGGAAAGAAAACCTTGCTTTGCCAAATTTCCTAAATGACAAACATTCCTAAGGTGAGCAGGGATCTGACCAGAGTTTTAAGGTAATAGACAAAAAAACTGAGTCTCCCTGTCTCCTTTCTGCTTCTCTTTGTCCTGCCTCACTACCACTTATTTTCTCTCAGCTTCGTAGTGATTTTTTGGGAGGGTATTTTTGAGACAGGATCTCACTGTGTAGTTTAAGCTGGCCTTGAACACAAACTCACAGCAATCCTCCTGCCTCAGCCTCCAAGTGCTGGTACTACAGCACTCTGTGCCACCACGCCCGGCTGATAGTGATAAAACCCAGTTGTGGTGAAGCCAGGGAAAGATGAGAGGTCTGAAAAATCAGAGAGGAGTGTCTGGGGCTGGGGATGTGACTCGGGGCACAGTGCTCCTGCCGAAACTTCAGGAAGCAGGGGTTGTTATATAAATGGTCTAGACAATGCGTATCAAAAATTATCGGGGTAACCATGCCCTGTGACCAGACAAGAATTTAACTCATAACAATTTACTCCAAGAGACTTATCCACGATGTGTTCATTTCATGTATGATGGTTGTGATGCATGAATTACGATAAAGAAAATTCAGAATCTCTTCAAGGAGTGCAGCTGGGACTACTTGAATAATCAGGGCACATGAGATGATGCTGAGGATACTCCCCACATAGTAAAATAACGTGTAGAAAGGTAATACATAGAGCAATGTTAATGATCGATCATTCAGTAAGGAGGCCAAGAGCCTATGCACGGCTGATCCATACACTGAGGAAAATATTTACATGGACCAGAGGAGGGGGCCTCAAGGTGGCAGTAAATGGAACCTCTGCATAGCACAAATGATAGATACAGCTTGCCCTGAGCTCAGCTAAGACGTGGCACACCCGCCTTCATAAATTGGATGGTGTCTTTTCATTTACTTATTTATTTTCATCTTTTTGAGACAGGGTCTCACTACACAGTGCAGGCTGGCCTTGAACTCACTATGTAGCCCAGACTGGCCCTGAACTCACAGTGACCCTCCTGCCTCAGCCTCCCCAGTGCTGGCATTACAGGCAGGTGCCACCATGCCCAGCTAGATGGTATCTCTTACAGTACTAGCTCATTTTAAGTAATATGCACTTATAAAGTTATCCTTATATATTTCATCTTGATTTTGAAAACCTTAAAATCTATGAATACGGCATGCTGGGCAATCATTCCACCAGCGAGCCCCAGTGCCAGCCCTGGGCCCAGCGCCATGCCAGATAGGCAGAGTCAAAACAGCTGGGCATGGTGGCACATGCCAGTGCTCAAGAGGCTGAGACAGGAGGATCTCTGTGAGTGTGAGGCCAGCCTGGGCTACAATAACAAGATCTTGTCTCAAATAAATAAATAAGAGGAAGGAAGGAAGGAAGGAAGGAAGGAAGGAAGGAAGGAAGGAAGGAAGGAAAGAAGGAAGGAAGGAAAGAAAGAAAGAAAGAAAGAAAGAAAGAAAGAAAGAAAGAAAGAAAGAGAGAGAGAGAGAGAAAGAAAGAAAGAAAGAAAGAAAGAAAGAAAGAAAGAAAGAAAGAAAGAAAGAAAGAAAGAAAGAAAGAAAGAAAGAGAAAGGAAATAGGCAGCATCTGCTTCACAGAGCTGGGCCCGTCCCTGCCTATCCTTTTCCTCCTCCTGGGTCAGTTGCCGGTCAAATGCTTCCTCTTCAGAGGCGAGAACACTCTCTTTTTCCTCATTAAATATCTGACACTCTTCAATCATAATTACGCTTCATCAAGGCCTACCTTCCTAATCATGTTCTCTGAAGACATTAATTTAGGCTTTTCAGTCAAGTCTGTTTATTTGTTTTTTTCCAAGTTTCTCTAATTGTGTAATTGAGAAGAGTCATGTGCACATCTAGTGAAGAGTCGCTGGATCCCACACACTACGAATAGCGCTCTGGGTCCCTGTAAGTGGGCGGCCTTGGGCTAGGAGGCAGGGCTGTAGTTCAGCACAGGCCTGTGCCTTGTTCATCTCTCCTTTCACTTCCGTACCGCTGCTACTCTGCAAGACCCGATATCTCCCTCACTTGGAAATCCAAGGTAGTTAGGGGACTCCACAGAGTGGGGCTGAGGTAATGTGTTGTGAAGACCTTACGAGATGTGATCCTTTATTAGTGAGGAAGGATCCTGTTTCTGAGCAGCCCGAGGGGAAGAGAGGCAGGGACTCAGAAAGCGCATGCAGAACCGGGTGTGGTAGCGCACGCCTGTTATCCCAGCACTCGGGAGGCTGAGGCAGGAGGACTGCCATGAGTTCAAGGGCAGCCTAAACTGCAGAGTGAGACCCTGTCTCAAAACCAAAGGGGGGCATGAAGATCACGCAAAGGCTCACACAGCACCGACAATCCACAAGATAAAGAGGTATCACTTTTCTAAAATGAACTGAGATCTCACTCATTTGATTTAATGGCATAAACTATAAACAATCACGCTATGATTCTGGTGCAGGTTTAACGCATCAAACACGAAGGGCTGAGGCCACGGCTTGGTGGTAAAATTCTTGCTGGTAAAATTCTTGCAAGAGTATGTGGAAAGCCCGAGGCTCAGCCTGCAGCACTGCAAAAACAAACCAAAAGAAGACAGGAACAATATCAAATATGCGCTTCTCTGGCATCTACGCCTGGATCAGTTTGTTTAACCACAACACTTAGATTCCCAGCCTATCAAAAGTTTACCCTGGGCGGCTGGGGATTTAGCTCAGCGGCACAGCGCCTGCCTGGCAAGTGCAAGGTCCTGAGTTCGATTCCTGGTACCGGAAAAAAAAACAAACAACAAAAAAAGTTTACCCTGGGCCAGGCATAGTGGCATGTTCCTGTCATCCCAACACTCAGGAGGCTGAGGCAGGAAGATCTCATTTGAGTGCAGCCTGGGCCACACAGTGAGTTCAAGGCCAGCCTGGACTTTCATAGTGTCTCAAAATATATATATATACACATATATGTATATTATAATTTTGTGGCATCCACCCCCCAAAAAAGAGTGGGCCTCTTCGTTTCATTCTCTTATCTTTCTCTACTGCCCATCTCTCATATTTTGGTCCTTCCTCGTAAGAGATTTTCTCAATTTTTATCTTTCAACCCTCCCACTCAGTTTTTCATTTGTAATCATATTTTTACTTTCCCAAATGTCTTACTGTGTGGAATGCTACTTCTTACGCACTGCTCTTTCTCGGGTGCAGTATCACCTCTCTCCCGCGGATCTTGCTAGTGAGCAGTTTCCTCTCCGCGCGTGCGCTGTTTTCTCCGAGCCTGCCTTTCACCTGTCTGTGGGTGGCGGTGGTCCATGTGTCTGGCTTTCCTGGAAAACCTGCGGGTTCTTAGCTGTTCACGTGTAGTCTGGATGGGGCAGTGGGAAGCTCACTGGACGCTGGAACTTCGAGCAGGACTCATCCCGAGGAGGGCCGCGCCCCAGGGGCACCTGCTAGAAGGATCCTAATTATTAATATCTTGAGAGCTCTTTCCTTTGTCTCATCTGATACCCCTGAAGAATTTTTTTTTTTTTTTTTAATCTTTTTGAGACAGTTCAGGCGGGTCTTGAGCTCACTTTGTAGCCCTGGCTGGTCTTGAACTCACAGCGATCCTCCTGCCTCAGCCTCCCAAGTGCTGGGATTACAGGCGTGCGCCCCCACGCCCAGCCCCGCCCCCAGAGCCCTGCAGTGTTGGAAGGTGAGCCCCATCCTTCCGCTGCCAGTGGGCTCTGCATGTAGATTTTAATCTTATCCTCTGACACTTCCTGCATGGAGTCCCTGGCCCGAGCTGGCAGCGTCTGCAACCTAGTTCCAACGGCAGGTGGTTCTGTCCGCAAGAGACAGAGATGAGAAGCGGGGAGTCCCAGCCACTGCTTACAGCAAAGTTCATCCTCTTTTTACCCTTGCTTTTGTTTTGTTTTGTTTTTTTGAAACAGGGTCTCGCAAGGTAGTGCAGGTTGACCTTGAACTCACTATGTAGCCCAGACTGGCTGCGAAGTCAGAGACCCTCCTGCCTCAGCCAGCCGCTCAAGTGCATACTCTCGCTTTCTAGAGAACTTACTTCTGCCCCTTCCGGAGCCACGCGGAGGCTCTGGAGCACACATCTTACCGCTTCGTGAAGAGACCCGGGTTTCAGTGTCCTCAGCGCTGCTGAGTCAGCGGCCCCTCGGTGCCCGCTTTCCGCTCTGCAGGGTTTGGTTGTTTTTGTTATTTTTCCAATTCTCTCTTCATTGGCTTATGTTTCAGGAAAACCGTGTGACTATCTTTTTTGTGGTGTGGGAGGGAAGGAAAACAGCAGTTCTTTAACTGGAGGCTGCACCTTATTTATTGTAAAGAGTTTCGAATGCTAGAATGTGCTGCGCTCGATCACTTACTTGTGCATTATTTATGTGCATTGGGGATCGGAACCGGGTCCTCTCACTGAGGTAGCTCCCTAGCCTTCCACATTTCACAATTATTATCATTACTACTATTATTATTATCTTAATTCTTTTCTAAGTCGACCAGGTTGGGCTCAAACTTGCCATTCCTCTGCCCCAGCCTCAACAGTGCTGGGATCGTAGGTATGTGCCACCAAAGCTTATTTCACTGTAGCTTTTAAAATATTTGAGTTTTCTTTTGTGTTTCTTTGTTCTGTTGTTGTTGTTTTGTTTGTTTCTTGGTACTGGGTATTGATCCCCAGGCCTTCACACTGAACTATATTCCCTGTCCTTTATAAATTTTGAGACAGAGTCTTGCTAATTTGCTCAGGTTAGCCTCAAACTTGCAATCCTCCTGCCTCAGCCTCCCAGAGTGCTGGGATTACAGGTGGGTGCCACTATACCTGGTTTAAAATACTGATGTTTTTACATTTGCAGTGATGCCTCTAATTTATGAGTTGTTTGAAAAAAATCAAATATATTAAATTTGTGGTAACAGATTGAAATGTGGTCACGTCCTGTCCTGTCCTGTCCCCCTCCCTGCTGACCCTGCCCCAGGCTGGGGGCTAAACTCAGTGCCTCAGCATGCTAAGCATACATTCTACCCCAGCCCCTGTGCACAAGAATTAAATCAAATTTGTTAGTGCTATTTAAATTTGAAAGAATTTAATTTGCTACATTTATAAATTTTATGGCTTTAACTTACGATGTTTAAGATAATCTGATTGGGACGAGCATGATGGTGCACGCCTGTAATCCCAGCACTCGGGAGGGAGGCTGAGGCAGGAGGATCATTTGAGTTCGAGCCCAGCCTAGGCTACAAAGTGAGCTCAAGGCCAGCCTGGACTGCAGGGGGAGACCCTGTCTTAAAAAGACAGAAAAAAAAAAATCTAATTAATTTGGTAAACAGTGTTTAAATGCTGAAGGGATTTTAAACTCTAAAATGTATAAATATGAATGAAAGCACAATGAAAATGAACTTTTAATTTTAACACAAAATTAATTGATTTATAGCTAAACTTATTAGATTTACATGCTGTGTATTGAAAGTTTGAAGAAAAATAGGTTTCTGATTCATAACTTTGCTATCACAATATTTAATATATAATTAAATATTACAAATAATTAGAAAGTAGAGCTCACAGAATCAGATTTCTCTCTCTCTCTTTTTTTTTTTTTTTAAACAGGGTCTCACTATGCAGTTCAGGTTGGCTTTGAACTCGCTGTGTAGCGAAGGTTGGCCTGGAACTCACAGGGATCCTCCTGCCTCAGCCTCTCAAACGCTGAGATTATAGGTGTGCGCCACCACACCTGCTTTTTCTCTTTCAGCAGTGCTGCCATTGGAGCCCAGGGCCTCACATACGTTATGCCTTTGTGCAACATCCCCAGCTTTCAAACCAGATTAAAAATTTTTATTTAGGAATAAATTATTCAGAAACTAGTGGGTGGCCATTTGGAAAAATCAAATTGATTTATGATGCATACCAGGATAAACTCCAACTATAACAAAGATGGGGAAGTAAAAAAAATGAGACCATACAAATACTAGAAGGAAAAAACAGTCAATTCCTCTATTTCCCTGCTATGTCTCAAAACCCAAAAATCATACAAGGTTGAGGGCTGAGGGTGTAGCTCAGTGGCAGAGCTGCCTGGCTGGCGTAACCGGCCCCAAGTTCAACTCTCAGGACTAAAACAAAACAAAACAAAGAATAAGAAAAAAAAATATTAAGGGTTAGGGACACAGTTCAGTGTGAAGAGCTGGAGTTTCAATCCCTGGTACCCACACAAACAAAAGTCAAAAAAGACAAGAAAATACTGACTGTAGAAAATTTGAGGGGACTCGAGCTTGGGGAGCCGTGGGCAGTGCTTGTGATGAAGAGGTTGAGGTAGGCTCGCTCATGAAGGAACCAGGCCAGGACCCACAGATCTGCCAGGGGTACAGAAGGCAGGTGGATCATTATTTCAGTTCCGGCTTGCAAGATGACCGTAGAAGTCCTTACTGTGGGCGGGGGCAACTGAGTCTTCATGACATGACTCTTTCTTTTTTTTGAGACAGGGTCTCACTATGCAGTTCAGGCTGGTCTTGAGCTCACTTTGTAGCCCAGGCTGGCCTCAAATTCAAGGATCCTCCTGCCTCAGCCTCCCGAGTGCTGGGATTATAGGCATGCACCACCATGCCCGGCTGAGACAGGTTTCTTCCTATGTACTCCAGGCTGGCCTTGTCTCAGTTAGCCCAGGCTGACCTCAAACTCACAGCGATCCTCCTGCCTCAGCTTCCCAGAATGCTGGGAAGACAGGTGCGCGCCTCTATGTCCAGCTCGTGTGGTTTCTGTAGCCAGCCCCTCACATGCGCCACTCTGGAGCATCCCGGCCATACAGCGTTCAGGGGGCTTTCCAGGTAGAACTGCTCACCGAGGGCAGTCAGGAATCTGCCCGGGATCATCAGGGTCCTGCTCTCCGGCCTGACCATTACTCATCCTCACCCTGGGAGGAGCCTGCAAGTACCACGCTTTGATTACCGTGCATTTGCACAAGCACTTTTAATGTCTGGAAATCCCTCCTGACTCTTCCTCCTGCAAAACTCGTTCTTCGAAACTTAGCTTATTTTATCATGACAGTAAAAGCTCTTATTTTTCTGCCACTAAAAGGGAAGGCTGGTTATCAAATGTTATTTCATTGGCAAAAAAACACTTAACCTTCTACATATGATCAAGTGTTCAAAAGGATTTGGATCAAATTTTCAAAGGGTTTGTAGTGAGGGTCACGTCACCGTTTACTTACTGGTCGATACATTGACTGATCAAATGCATACTTGCTGGGTTCCTACTCTCTGCAGTGCCGTGAGCCAAGCAACCCCTTAGGCACGGGAGTGAGGGGGAAGAAATGGCAGAAACCCTTTAGTTGTTGCTGTTGTTTGTTGAGACAGGGTCTCACTGTGTACCTCGGGCTGGCCTTGCACTCACCGTGTAGCGCAGGCTGGTCTGGACCTCATGGTGATCCTCCTGCCTCAGCCTCCCGAGTGCTGGGACTGCAGGTGTGTGCCACGATGCTGGGCAAGTCTGGGCTTTTGAAAGTTAGAATTCCTGGGCTGGGGATTTAGCTCAGCGGCTAAAAGCGCCTGCCTGGCAAGCGCAAGGCCGTGAGTTCGGTTCCCGGTACCGGAGAAAAAAACCAAAAAAAAAAAAAAAAAAAAAAAAAAGAAAGTTAGAATTCCTAGGCTTCTGCATCTTAAAGGTTACCTGGGGAAACCCCTACCGCAACCAAGGAAGCCTGTGCTGGAGAGAATACAAGGAAAGTCTGGAACAAGCCCTCAGTCAAACTCAGTCTCCTCTGGCCTGTGGTATCCTCATGGTGGCATGACTTTTTTTTTTTTTTTTTTGTGGTACCAGGAATCAAACTCAGGACCTTGCGCTTGCCAGGCAGGCACTTATGCAGCTGAGCCGGAAGGCATGAAATTCTAAATGTGCAATTTCAAATATGGCCAGGCCTAAACATATTTGTACTAGGTACAGTAACAAAAACAGCTCATGAACTGTTTTCTTGGAGAGAAGGATTTTGATTTAAAAAAACAAAAACAAAAACAAAAAACTCAGCTTACTTCTTTTCTTTCTTTCTTTCTTTCTTTCTTTCTTTTTTTTTTTTTTTTTTTTGTCTTTTTGAGACAGGGTCTACTATGCAGTTCAGGCCAGCCTTGGGCTCATTTTGTAGCCCAGGTTGGTCTCAAACTTGTAACGCTCCTCCTGCCTCAGCCTCCCAAGTGCTGGGATTACAGGAGTGTGCCACCACGCCCGGCACATAAAGCACTTCATTCAGAAAGTTTTCCCCACATCACATCCCCGATCGCAAAGCGAGGTTCAAGGGAGCTTCTGTGCCCGTTGACATAGGGAAAGCCTCCTCGGGCTTCGAGCTGCTAGGCCGCCCTCTCTGCTCCGGCTACACTGCAGTGCAGCAGAGTCCTGCAGTCTAGATTTTTCCTTGCGTCCACCGGCTGACCTCAGATCCCTGGCAAAGGTGGCTCTGACCCCACGCCCCGCACCCCTCTCCGCAGGTCTGGCGCCCTCATGTCCTCTAGTGGAGCTCCGCGTGACTCCAGGCCCTCGGCTCCCGCCCGCGCCCCCTGGTGGCTCCCGGCGGCACTGACGCTGCAGGCGAAGATTCCCTCCCAAGGGTAAGCCCGCCCCAGTGGCTGCTGTCCGCGCATTTCCTGTTTTTCTGAGACCCGCTTTTCAAAGTTTGGGCTATGAAGGTATTGTCTCAAATTCCTCACTCCCCCAACACACACACTTATGTTTTTTTCTTTTTTTGTGGAACCCAGGGCCTTTGCACTGAGCTACACAGTAGCCCTTCTTTGAACAGTGTTTTTCAATTTTGCTAAGTCATTTCGTTGCCCAGGCTGGGCTTGAACTTTGGAGTCTCTTGCCTCAGCCTCCCTGAATGCTGGGATTACAGCCTTGTACCACCAGGCCTGGCACAGGTCACTTTCAACACGCGAAGGCCTGGTTCCAAACCGCTTTGTGGACAGTCCACTGCTTACGTCACCAATGATCTCCTTGGGGGCTTAGTGCCAACCTGTTTTGGGTGCCAGGAAAACACTAGCACACAAAATGATTAAAAGTCTCTGTTCCAGCTGGGTGTGGTGGCACACAACTATATCCTGGCTATTCAGAGGCTGAGGCAGGAGTATCACGAGTTTGAGGACAGCCTGAGCAATGTAGTGAGACTTTGTTTAAAAAAAAAGGCTGAGGATGTAGCTGAGGTATAGAACACCTGCCACACATGTGTGAGGACTGGGGTTGCATTCCCAGTACTGTAAATAAAAGAATATGCTGGGTGTGATGACACATCCCTGTAAACCCAGCACTTGGGAGGCTGAGGCAGGAGGATGATTGTGTGTTTGAGGCCAGCCTGGGCTACACAGTGAGTTCAAGACCAGCCTGAACCATATAGTGAGACCCTGTCTCAGAACAACCAAAACTAAATAAATATTAAATAAATAAATAAATAAAATGAACAAATGAATAAGAAAGTCCCTGTCCCAAATGCAACATACACTTTTACACTCTAGTAAGGGAAGAGCAATCATACAGATATTTTTTCCTCTTGAGACAGGGTCTAACTCTATAATTCAGGCTGGTCTTAAACTCACTAGGTAGCCCAGGCTGGCCTCAAACCCAGGGTGATCCTCCTGCCTCAGCCTCCTGGGTGCTGGTATCACAAGTTTGCACAACCAAGCCTACCTAAGACCATATAGATTTGCTTACTTTTTTTTATTATTACTTTTTGTGTGTGTGTTTGGTGCTGGGAATCGAACTCATGACCTCATGCTTACAAAGCAAGCACTGTGCCACTGAGCGATATCCCCAGCCCAGATTTGCTTACTTTTTAAATTGCCCTTATTAGCCGGGCGTGGTGGCACATGCCTGCAATCCCAGCACTCGGGAGGCTGAGGCAGGAGGACCATTGCTAGTTCAAGACCAGCCTCGGCTACAAAGTGAGCTCAAGGCCAGCCTGAACTGCATAGCAAGACCTGTCTCAAAAAGACAAAAAAAAATTGCCCTTATTTCAGTGACGTCCCAAACCCAATACCCAGGACAGAAATCTGGAAGAGCTTAATTTCATGATCTCTCAATTAGCCACAAGACACTATTCACCTCACATCCGTCCCTAACCTCTCCATCCGTTGTGCTATCCACAACGTTCCTTAGTCTGGCATGATAGCAAGAGTTCCCTCACAGAAACTGGCCATTGTTGCAAATCAGGGCTTCTCCCTCGGAGAATGGGAAATGCCAGCGAGTAAAGGACCCCACGTCTGCCCTGGGCCAGCTGTGCTTCCCCTCATGTGGCTGCTGCAGGAGAACTCCTTCTGAGGCCTCAACCGGCTCTGCCCGGAGCGCTTGTCTGGCATGTGGTCAGCCCTGGGCTCAATCCCTGTGATGGCGTGTGTCTAGATGTCCCCGCAAAGCCTCACGCAGTCATCGGTGGGGCTTTGTCAGAGGCAGCTGAATCTAGTGTGTGACTGAATCACGGTGCAATGCTAGGATAAGGGTGGGTGATTACTAAGTCCGTCCACTGACTGTTCGCCTGTCCTAGGCCTGGGAGTCTGGATGCAGTCTAAGGGACAGAAAGAGGCTCGTCTTCCCCTTGCTTGTTGCCCTTGCTGCTTCTGTGGTCCCTGAGGTCGTCAGCCAGACGGGCGCTCTCCACAGCACCCTCACTTAATTCTGTTGATCTGCAGTATAACCGCGAGTACGCTTTCGGGTACAGGTAACAGAAAGCCGAGACCACGCGCAGACACGGAGCCTGGCGGGCAGGGCGCGCTCGGGTGCAGTGTGATCTCTGCTTGTCGGCAGGGACCTGGGTTTTCTGTTGTTCCGCACCCCCCACCCCATCTCTCAGTACTGGTTTCAAGTAAGGGCTGGCTCTGGCGTGGACATGGTCAGCACCAGTTGCGCTCACCTGCGTTCTAGGTAACATGAGGGGGAGGGGGAGGG